ATTTTCACAATGTTGGTTCTTCCTATCCATGAGCAAGGGATATTTTTCCATTTACTGAAATCTTCTTCGATCTCTTTTTTCAGAGTACTGTAGTTTTCATTGAAGAGATCTTTGACTTATTTTGTTAGATTGATTCCTAAATATTTCAATTTCTTGGATGTTATTGTGAAAGGTATGGTTTCCTTATTCTCTCTCAGTCTGTTTGTTTTTTGTGTATAGGAATGCTATCAATTTTTGGGTGTTGACTTTGTATCTAGCTACACTGCTAAATTTGTTGATTAATTCAAGGAGTCTTCTTGTGGGAGTTTTGGGGTCTTCTATGTAAAGTATCATGTCATCTGCAAATCATGATACTTTTACTTCTTCATTTCCTATCCTTATTCATTTTATTTCTCTCTCTTATCTAATTGCTCTGGCTAATGGTTCCAGAACTATGTTGAATAGGAGTGGTGACAGTGGTCATCCTTGTCTTGTTCCTGATTTTATACTAGACACTTTCAGTTTCTGTCCATTTAGTATGATGTTGGCTGTTGGCTTGTCATGAAGGGCTTTGATCAGGTTGAAGAAAAGAACCCTCTATTCCTATTTTCCCTGTCATTTTTATCATGAATGCATGTTGGACCTTATTGAAAGCTTTTTCTGCATCTATTGAGTTGATCATGTGGTTTTTGTCTTTGGCTCCATTGATATGGCATGTCACATTTATAGATTTGGAAGTATTGAACCAACCCTGTATTCCTGGAATGAATCCAACTTAGTCATGATGTATGAGTTTCTTGATGATTTGCTGCATTCTATTTGCTAGTATTTTATTGAGTATCTTTGCATCTATATTCATTAGGGAAATTGGTCTGTAGTTTTCTTTGTTGGTTGGGTCTTTCTCTGGTTTTGGTATCAGTATGAAACTTAACTCCAGAAATGTCTTAGGGAGAATTACTTCCTTTCCAATTTCATGGAAGAGTTTGAGGAGTGTTGGTATTAAATCTTCTCTGAATTTCTTGTAAAATTCTGCTTTGAATCCATTGGGCCTGAGCTTTTCTTTGTCAGTAGGTTTTTAATCACGTTTTCAATCTCATTAATTGATATTGGGTTGTTCAGGATTTTTATATCTTCTTGACTCAACCTTGGTAATTTGTTTATATTTAGGAATCTGTCCATTTCTTCTGAGTTTTCTATCCTAGGGGGGAAAAGATTTTTGAAGTATTAATGATCTTCTGAATTTCTGTGGAATTTGTATTAATTTCATCAGCTCCATTCCTTATTGCATGAATTTGAGTTCATTACTTTCTTTTTTATATAGTTGGCTGGGGGTTATCAATTTTATTTATTCTTTGAAAGAACCAACTCTTTGATTCATTTATTTTTTGGAGGGTTTTCTTTGTCTCAATTGCATTAATTTCTGCCCTAATCTTTATAATCTCCTCCCTTCTTTGGGCTTTGGGCTTGACTTGTTCTTCTTTTTCTAAAAGTTTAAGATGCAGCATTAGGCTATTTGTTCTCTTTCTGTTTTCCTTATGTGTGAATTCACTGCTATAAATTTACCTCTGAGGACTGCTTTCATTGCATCCCACAGATTCTGGTAAATTGTATTTACCTTTTCATTTGTTTGTAGGTATTTTTTAATTTCCTCTTTAATTTCTTCTGTGACTCAATGGTTGTTGAGGAGGTTGATATTTAATTTCCAAGTGTTTATGGAGTTTTTGGAGTTCCTTTTGTCATTAATTTCCAATTTCATTGCACTGTGGTAAGATAATATGCATAGTATAAGTTCAATTCATTTGCATTTCGGTAGGTATGCTCTCTGGGCTAAAATGTGGTCTATTTTAGAGAAAGTCCCAGGTGCAGGCTGAGACAAATTTGTATCCTGATGTGGTGGTGTGGAACACTCTGTCTACATCTACTAAGTCCATTTGTTCACAGCTTTGGTTCAAATCTGTTTTTTCCTTGCTGATTTTTTGTCCCATTGACCTTTTTCTTTGTGTCAATGGGGTGTTGAGGTCCCTTGTTACAATAGTGTTATTAATTACATGGCTTTTTATGCCTGTTAAAATTTGTCTTATATAGTTTAGAACTCCAATATTTGGCACATACATGTTTATGATTGTTATCTCATCCTCTTGCAGTTTTCCCCTGACAAGTATGTAGTGACCTTCTTTCTCTCCTTTGATTGTTGTCTGTTTGAAGTTTACATTATCTGCAAACAGAATAGCTACCCCTGCTTTTTTCTGAGTTCCTGTTGCATGAAGGATTGTTTTCCATCGTTTGACTTTCAGTCTATAGATTTCCTTTTGAGTAAAATGTGTTTCCTGTATACAGTACATCATTGGATTTTGTTTTTTAATACATTCTGGCAGTCTGTTTCTTTTGACTGGAGAATTGAGGCCATGTACATTTATGGTTATAACTGATATGTGTTGATTTATCATTGTCATGTTATTTACTTTCATTGATGTCCTACTTTTTCTACCTATGTACTTGCTTGCTCTTCTTGACATTTCATTTCTGCTGTTGTTCTTGAAATTGCAGTCAGATTTTTCTCTGTCTAGAATATCTTTTAGTACTCTTTGTAATGCTGGCTTGGCACTCCTGAAGTTCTTCAGTTGTTCTTTGTTGTGAAAATATTTTATTTCTCTGTTGAATTTGAGAGGTAGTTTGGCAGGGTACATCAGTCTTGGTTGGAAGCTGTTCTGTCTTAGGACCTGTAATACTTCACTCCAAGCTCTTCTCGATTGGATGGTTTGTGCTGAGAAGTCTGCCGTGATTCTGATGGGCTTTCCTTTATAGGTAATCAGTTTCTTTTCTCTAGCAGCTTTTAATATTCTGTTCTTTTGCTGGAGATCTGGAAACTTGACTATTGTATGTCTGGGTGTGGTTTTATTTTTGTTGTGGTAGGTTGGAGTTCTATATGCCTCATTTAGCTGTGCATTAGGTTCTGTTGCCACACTTGGGAAATTTTCTGCTATTATTTCTGCAAATATTCTTTTTATGTCATTTGTGTTGCCTCCTGCTGTTTCATTGACTCTTATTAGTCGTACATTATTCCTCTTTGCCTTGTGTTGCAGCTGTTGAATTGATTTTTCTTGGATCATTGTTGATTTTATGAGATCCTGTCTTTCATGGTCTCTAGCTGCCATGCTGTCTTCAAAGTCTGAGATTCTATCTTCAGCTTCATTGAAGCAGTTTTATCAGCTTTCAGTGGAAGCTTTGATTTCCTGGAAGTCTCTTTGAGTGTGGTTCATGCATTCTTAGTCCTTTCTATATTTTTTCATGTATTGTTTCCTTCCATTGCCTGTGTTCTTCTATTTTCTTATATGTTTCTTCTTCAGACGTTCTGAGCAGTTCTTTCATTATTATTGTCATTTCATTTTTTGCCTGAGAGATTATTTCTGATCTGATCTCTTCTATGGCCTTATGGAGTTATTTCTTTACTTCCATTGCAATCATTTCAGCTATTTCAGGCATATGTTTACCAAGTTCTCCTATGTTGATGTCTCCTGGACTTTTTCTGAGTGGAGTGGTGTTCTGGGATTGTGTTTTATTTCTTTGTGTTGTCATGTTTGATACTGGATGCAGAAAGCTCATTTCCCTCTTCAGTGTCTGCATCACACAGGCCCACTAATGTCTCTAGTTTTCCTGTTGGTCAGGTTTGCCCCTCAGTTTCTGCTGAGATGCACTACTTAGTTTGACATTTTCCATCCATTGCTGAAGTGTATCTAGTTATCCCAGGTCTCAGATGTGGGCATTGGTGTCAGCTGATGGCAAACTGTCTGATCCAGCATCCCCTTGCAGTTCAGGGCAGGTGTATGGTCTGGACTTTTGTTGCACTGGTGGCACAATCCTGGTCCAGTGGACCTGTGTCCCCAGGCAATTCAGAATACAAGCAAAACCCAGACTCAAACTGCAGAGTCAGCTGTTTGTGGACCACCTGATTCTGTGTCTCCAGTCAGTTCAGGACTCATACAACAGCCAGATGCATGCCGCAAAGAGAGCAATCACAGACTGTCCCTGTCTTTGCCCTCCAGTAGGTTGGGGCACAAGTAAAGCACAGACTCAAAGCACAGTATCAGCAGCTCTTGGAGCACCCACTCACGCAGTGCAGGTCATGCACAAGGAGGGCCCACATGCAAACCCCGGTGAGAGCAGTCCGTGAGTCTTCTGAGTAGGAACTCCTGTCTGCCACAGGTGCACGGAGGGCAGAGACTCAGACTGTAATTGCGGCAGAGTCCTGGGTCACTTGCTCTGCCCCCAGGAAGTAGATTGGAAATACCTGGCTCTCTCTGTGGCTTTCAGCTGGGAACCATGGTGGCAGCAGGTCACAGCCTGCCTTGTTCTGGTTCTCTAATCAGTTCAGAATGTGCACAGGAGCCAGACCACTTTTGTTTTTTATCCTCCAGTACTGTGCTCTTTCTACCATAGTAGCTTCATAGTGTAACTTCAAACTGAGGATTGTGATGGCCCTTGCCTTGCCTTTGTTGCCCAAAATTGTTTTAGCTATTCTGGGTCTGTTTTGGTTCCATATGAATTTTAGGATTGTTTTCTCTATTTTTGGGAGGTATGTTATTGGTATTTTGATCTGGATTGCATTAAATTTGTTTAATAATTTTGAAAGTTTGGCTATTGTCACTATATTTTTTTTTCTACCCAAGAACAAGGGGTATTTTTCCATTTTCTGATATACTCTTCAATCTCCTTTTTCACAGCACTGTAGTTTGCAATGTAAAGTTCCTGCACCTTCTTTATTAGAGTAATTCCCAAGTATTTCATTTTTTCTGTTCTATTGTGAAGGGTGTGATTTCCCTCATTTCTCTCTCAATTAGTTTGTTATTTATGTACCGGAAGACTATTGATATCTGAGTGTTGACTTTGTATCTTGCTATGATGCTGAATTTGGTTATTAATTCTACAAGTCCTTTGGCAGAGTTTTTAGGGTCCTATATACAGAGTAACATGTCATCTATAGATAATGTTAATTTAACTTCTTGTGTTCCTACCCTTCTTTCTTCTATATTTTTCTTTTGTATAATTGCTCTGGATAATATTTTTAGAACTATGTTGAATAGGACTGTTAATAATTGACATCCTTGTCTTGTTCTTGATTTTAGAGTGAAAGCTTTCAGGTTTTGTCCATTTAGTATGATGTTGGCTATTGATTTGTCATAGATGGCTTTTATCAGATTGAGATAAAATCATCCATTTTGATTTTCTGTAGGGTTTTTATCATGCATGGAAGTTGGACTTTGTCAAATGCCTTTTCTGCATCTACTGAGATGATAATGAGGTTTTTGTCCTGGGCTCTATTAGTATGGTGTATTACATTTATTGATTTGTTACACTGAACCATTCCTGTATCCTTGGGATGAATACTACTTGGTTATGATGTATAATCTTCTTGATTTGTTGCATTCTGTTTGGCAGAATCTTATTGTGCATTTTTGTGTTTATGCTCATTAGGGAGATTGATCTATAGTTCCTTTTGGTTAGATCCTGCAATGGTGTTGGCATCAGGATAATTCTTGCTTTGGGGAATGAATTTGGGAGTATTGCTGCCATTTCAATTTAATGAAAGAGTTAATGGGGAAATGGCATTAGATCTTCTCTAAATTTCTGGTAGAGTTCAACAGTGAATCTGTCTGTACCTGGCTTTTCTTTGCTGGTAGAGTTTTCATTAGTTTTTCAATTTCACTGGATGATTTTGAAATGTTTGGAATTTTCATATCATCTTGAAAGCTTTGACAATTCATACATATCTAGGAATCTGCCAATTTCTCTTGCATTTCCCATTTTAGTAGAATAAAATTTCTTAAAGTTGAAATTGATGATCTGGATTTCTGCAGGATCTGGTGTGATTTCAGCCTTTTCATTCCTAATTTCAGGAATCTGAGTCTTTTCTTTCTTTGTTTTAATAAGGTTCTCTAAAGGTTTGCCAATTTTACTTAACCTTTTAAAGAACTAATTTTTCCATTCATTGATTCTTTATATTGTTTTCTTAGTCTCAATTCCATTAATTTCTGCTCTGATCTTTACAATTTCCTCTCTTGTTTGAGTTTGGGTTTGCTATGGTTTTTGTTCAGCACTCTAGGATGTGGAATTTCTGAGCCAGTTTAGTTAAGCTTCTCTTACTGATGTTGACACAATCAATAAAACACTACAATCCACCCCTTGTCAACTTGGTAACCAGTCACATTTCTTTAAACCAGACTCCAGATACAAAGTCATGCAAATAATTATGCCTAACATGTTATAACTCTCCTCTGTACAAACAGACATGCCATAATTTCCCTCCTAGAATACAAGGCAAATTTTCTTTGGATGACGCTTATTCTTAACATTTCACAACTTGAGCATTATAATATAGGTTTTTTCAATTGTAGATTTTGGATTATTTATTTCTTCAGTTTCTTATACTAGGGAGACAACATGATGTTTACATGTGTGAGTTTGATGTTTTCACTTATGAGTATGGTCTCTAGTTGCATCCATTTACTTATAAAAGCCTCAAGTTTATACTCCATAATATAAAAAAAAAAAATCTTTTTTTATTCATCCCTCACTTGATGGGCATTTGAGCTGTTTCCAAGATTTAGCTATAACAAATTGTGATGTTATAAACATGGCATATATATTGCTATGGTATGATGTTTTCATTTCTTCTGGGAAAATACCCAGAAGGGAAATCACTGAGTCAAATGGGACCTCTAATCCTAGTTTGCCAAGGAATACTCACAATGATTTCCACAATGGTTACACTAGTCTACACTCCCACTAGGAATGGAGAAGAGTTTCTTTTTCCCCACAGCCCCACATTTGTTGTTGATATCTGATTTCTTGATGATAGCTGTTCTTTCTGAGGTGAGACAGAATCTCAGTATTGTTTTAACTTGCATTTCTGAAATGACCAATGATGTTGAACATTTTTTCATATATTTATTTGCCATTTGTATTTCTTTATCTGAGAAGTGTGTATTTATCTCAGATGCTCATTTGTAGATTACGTCTTTGAAGTTTGGGGGGCCTGATTTTTTCTATTCTTTATATATCCTAGGTAGAACTTCTTTGTCTGAGGGACAGTTGGCTAAATTTTTTCCTACTATGTGGGTTTTCTTTGCATTCCACTGATGATTTCTTTTGTTGTGCAAAAAATTTTAATAGGGTCAGAAGCCAGTTGTTGATTCTTTGAAGTATTTCCCATGTGGTTTGGTTTTCCTCATGAAATCTCTGCCTATTCCTATGTCTTCAATATTTCTACTTACTTTCTCTTCTAGTAGATTTAGTGTTTCTGTTTTAATATTTAGATCTTTGATCCATTTTGAGTTTACTGCATGGTGATAGATATGGGTCTAGTTTTAGTCTTTGGCACGTGGCAAGCCAGTTTTTCCAGCACCATTTATTAAAGGGGCAGAGAGTTTATGAATAGAAACCAAGCTGTATGGGAAATACTTCAAAGAATCAACAACTGGGATCTCATCCTATTAAAAAGTTTTTGCACATTAAAAGAAATCACCAATGGAGTGGAAAGAAAACCCACGAATAGGGAAAAAATTTTAGCCAACTGTCCCTCAGACAAAGGGCTTCTAGAACATATAAGGAATTTTTAAAAAATCAGGCCCCTAAAATTCAAAGACCCGATAAAATTGGGCATCTGAGATGAATACACACTTCTCAGACAAAGAAATACAAATGGCAAATAATATATGAAAAATGTTCAACATCATTAGTCATTTGAGAAACACAAATTGAAACAACACTGAGATTCTATCTCACCCTACAAAGAAGAGCTGTCATCAAAAAATTAACCAATAACAAATGCTGATTGGGCTGTGGGGAAAAAGTAACTCTTCATTGTTGGTGGGAGTGTAGAGTGGTACAATGACTGTGGAAATCAGTGTGGAGATTCCTCAAAAAGCTAGGATTAGAGGTCCCATTTGACTCAGTTATTTCCCTTCTGGGAATTTTCCCAGAAGAAATGAAAATATCATACCACAGCAATATTTGTGCCCTCATGTTTATAACAGCACAAATTGTAATAGCTAAATCTTAGAAACAACCTAAATGCCCATCAACTGAGGAATGGATAAAAAAGATGTGGTATTTTTATACAATGGAGTACTATTCAAGTATAAAGAAGGACAAACTTGAGGCTTTTATAAGTAAATGGATGTAACTAGAGACCATACTTGTAAGTGAAATAAATCAGAATTGCACTTGTAAACATGATATTGTCTCCCTATTGTAACAAACTGAAAGGGTAAACAAGATCCAAGAGGTACAATAAATATGGTAAAAGGGAAGGAAACTGATCAAGGGCTGGGGATATAGCTCATTGGCACAAGTGCCTGTCTGGCAAGTGCAAGGTCCTGAGTTTGATTCCTGGTACCAAAAACAACAATAACAACAACAACAACAAAAAAAAAACCACGAAAAAAACACTCAAAAGGAAAGAATATCTGGGATGGGGGAAAAGAGAAAAGAAGAAAGGAAAAAGAGATATCTATATATACACAAGATAGTTAGGATTATTTTACTACTAACTTCTATTAGTTCATTAGAAGGAACCATTATTACTTATATTGTTGATGAATTTTGCATGTCTGTACATGGTGATCTGAGCAACTACTTTGAGGATAATAATATGCAATATAATAACCATTGTTAATATCCTATCTTGTTTTGAAATTCTGTATCATTTTTGTTGTCTTTTTTGTCTCTTTAAAATAAAAAAGAGGCTATCTTTCTTCCAGTGAACATGTTTTTCCCCTTTGTCAAAGATAAGGTGACTGTATTTTTAGTTGTGTCTATATCTTCTAGTCTGTTCCATGGATCCTCAGAATTTTTTGCCAGTACTATGTTGATTTTATCACAGTTGCTTTGTAGCATAATTTTAAGTCAGAGATTGTGATGCCTCCTCCCTTGTCTTTGTTGCCCGGGATTGCCTTTGCTATTCTAGGTTTCTTCTGTTTCCAAATGAATTTTAGGAATGTTTTCTCTAGATCTGTGAGGTAAACTAGTGGTATTTTAATTGGGATTGCATTGAATCTGTATGACAATTTTGGGAGTATGGCCATTTTCACAATGTTGGTTCTTCCTACCCATGAACAAGAGATATTTTTCCATTTTCTGATATCCTCTTCCATATCTTTTCTCAGAGC